CTTAATCGCTCTCTACAAGTCAGCAAACCCAGAAATAAAACACACCATAAACCTTAATAAAAATATAAAGAATTTACAAGCCATAACAAATTAGAAATTAAGAAAACAGTGTGTCCACATCTGCTGATCCTGTAGCAGCCCTGCACAGCAGTCGGCTAATAGCTGCACTCCCCTCTTTTCTTTGATAAGTATTTTAAAAACAAACATCTTAAAAAACACTTCTCATAAAACTCCTCTGGAGCAGCCTGGCACAGTTTTAAGCTATCAGAGTGGCTCTGCTAGGCCTGAAGGTTGAGAAACATGACTCTGCACCTAGACCAGCGACCTCCCCATGCTTTCTCCTTCCTCGAAATGGCAGGCGGCAGGAGAAAAGCCGGCGCGGCCAGCGGCAGGAAATAGCGTGAGAATGGGCTCCCTCATGCTACTTCCAGCCCTTCCTGATATCGGAGGGTGTGAAATGGGTTGCAAAGACTGTCTCTCACACTATTTCCTTTTCCACCCCAGCTGAAACCAGGAAGTGCCAGCTAGGAGATACACACAGCAAGCACAGCGTAATATGAAGCACAGAATCAGAGTGGTGGCCAGGGCTGTAAGTAAAGCAAGAATTCAGAGATTGCGGGCACAGCCCAACATTAGCAAGTCCAGAGAAGGCACTAGGATGCTCAGGTAACCCAGGCTTTGCTTTTGATTTACTACATGGCTACTTCAAAGGCTATTAACATCAAAGCAATTTTCTTCAGGACATTTGCAGAATTTAGGTCAGCCTTTACAGGATGGTGCTGGCATCCTCCATGCCCTTGTGCCACAAACAGCACATTTGCATGGGAGAGATCCTGCTTACTCTAACTGCTCTGCTGTGTGTTTGTGAGCCTTCAAGAACAGAGCTACTCAAATGAAAACGGAGGTAGAAGTATTAGCAATGACAGCACTTCAAAGAAAGTATGTTTGTTTATATTTGACAAAAGGATATATTTGACAAACAGGTCTTGGCACATTACAGTGGAAATGGCTCCTATGTTTTTAAGTAATATATTCTAAATAAAATGCAATCCTGTGCCTTCAGGGAAGAAATACAAAGGATGGCAAATCATTTATTTATCACTGTTCAGGGTATTCTATATTCTAGACCTTTCTGTGTTGTTCTGTTTATTATTAGCCAAGAGCGGTATCACAAGGCAACTTTGGTACATTCGTTCTCTTCTGCATACATCCCCACAAGATACAAGAGCAATGAAATTTGGTCTCCTCATAGACAATGCTCCTTCCTTACAGCTAAAATACATTCTTCTCAGAAAGAAATTGGTAACAACCTTGCAGACCATGTTGTTCTAAAAGAAGAATTGAAACTAACTACTTAGTAAGTCCAGTGAAGAAAAGGGAAACAGCCTCCTTTCCTTTCTCTGCCTCAAGACTGTAAAATATGCCTAGGCAGGAAGTACAGTAAAGCTCACGATGAGCAGAGGCAGCTACTCTTTCAAAATGAACAGGGTTCCTCTGAAGTGACATTTTCATCTAGCCAGTGAGCATGAGGGGAAAGGGCAGGATACCAGAAGGGCTCTCCAGCAGCTGAGGTTACTGGCCAGGCCTCCCAGCTTCATGCCTCCAAAGATCACCACTGCAGTTCCATTGAAAGCCAGGACTGTACCTGTCGATATGGTCTTTTCTGAGCCAATGCAATGAGGAACTTGGCGAGCAACAGCAATAGTGCATATTAATGTCAACTTTTTACAGGGAGGCACTGAAAAACTGTAGTGAGTCAGCATAGTATTTAAAGTTACTGCTCAGAAGCAGATGAAAAATGCCATTTCCAGACTTCAAACAGCTACATTCCAGTTAGGTAGATACAAGACATTAGGTTGAGAATTATACTGGTTCCCACTTTCCAGGGAAAGGACAAGCTGCAAAAAGTGGCTTTCTCCTTACCCTGAGCTCACCCAGGAGAGCTCCTGCCTCATCAGTTAGTTCCCTTCTTTCCCCAGCACATAACTGCAAGAGTTTACGTCTCTGTCTCCCCAACATCTTTGTTTCCACGGTGATCCGCCATCCTGCAGCTATGCCATGCAGTCTGTAACTCCAAAGAGTATAGCTAAGCTGCCCTACAGGAGAGCCAGTCTTTATCAATGAAAAGCAGAACTGTAAAAGCAGCAGTGTCCAACAGAATGGAGCTAGGAAAGTCCTCATGGCCTCCTCTCACTGCCACCATCACACCATTAACAAGAGATGGAAATAAGAGGAGGGAAGGGACTCGTGCCAGTTCCCAGAAGCCAGCAGGCGGGATGCCGGGTGCTGCTGCCGGGAACAGCTGCCACACAAGCAGACCATGAGCCCTGCAACATTCCCACTCCCTGAGGACAGGAGACACAGGCCAGCCCCTGAACCCACAAAGATCCCTGAAGAAGCTCTGCACGCATTTCATGCTGGTTTGGCAGAAACAGAAATGAATTTTAGTTTGATATTAACTTTTCTGAAAGCCAAACGGAGCCCTGTAAGATACACACACTCCTCACTGTTCCCTGCTCAAAGACAGACAAAACTCATTTTTAAACATTCAGCACAATCGCCTTGAAAAGCTTCCTGTATATAACTTAAAACTGTGTCACTTCCAAGAGTGGGAAAATCTTCCTTTTTGAAAATGCAGAAAAAAGCCCACACCAAGGCAAAGTTTAAGCAATTCACACTTTAAAAATGACATTTAAAAAAATCTAAAAATTTACCAACAACTACAGAAAGTTAACTTTTGAAAACAGGAATCATTATTTAGAATTTTAAAGTAATCCACCGAACAAAATATCAATATATAAAAATTCATTCAACTGTGAAGGAGAGATTTTTGGAAGCTGGTTTGATCATGAAAGAGAAAAACCACTTTTCCGTCTTCCATTTTAAGTATTCCTTTCTTGTTTTAAAGAGGAACTTCAAAAGGGGAAAGTGTTTAGCACCCCAGACTGTTCTCTGCAAGAACTGACAACTCCAACACATTTTGCTCAGCTTTCTCTTTTAACTTCTATTAGCCCTATTGACAGTAGCTTGCACATTCAGATTGAAAGCGCTCACTTGATAAATCTCAGCTACATTTTATACTTTGCCTTTGCTACATTCTTTTTTTTAGAGTGTGCTCACCAGTTTAATTTCAAGGTATCAATCATGTCAGATTTTATGAAGTAATTTTCATCAGGTCCCTTGAAAATGTAATACCACAAAAACAAGTTCAGAATTTCAAAGTGATGTTAACCTCCAAGCAAGTATTTTGCCATTAAAAACCTCTTACTTTGCATGTTGTGTTACTAAAAACAATGCCACTGCATGATCAAAGATGCCAGACAGAACAAGAACTACCAAAGCTAACAACTCGAAAGCTCCTTCTGCAAGAAAATAATGCCATATACTTTACAATCAAATTGAATAAATATTAAAATGATGAAATATTTTTTGAAGGAGACAGCAATGGTACCTTCAGAAAAAAAATATCTGTAATTTGTCAGCATTGTACAATTTTTTTGGCTCAGCAGCCCATGATGTAGAATTACGTGTTCCACTAGATGGAGCAGGACAGTAAAACCATCCTGAAGGCCACCCCCGTTGCTGACCCATGAAAAAGTCAATGTCCAGCCATCAGGGATGGTAAGAATTTTAGCTTTCTTCTGTGCATTCAGGGCAGAACAAAATTTGTTTCTCTTCCAATAAAGGGCAACACAAAACCCCCTTTGTGCTTAACAATGTACTTCTTCCCATCAGAGAAGTTGACTATTAACAAACACTAACCAGAAACAAACAGATAACCAAACACTATGAGAAACCAAACTATGTTTTCCCCATTTCTATCAGCTTTACACTAGAAAGAAAAAATTTTCTGGATAGTTGAAATCTTGTAGGGTGTTTTTTTGTAGCAACTGAAGTTGCAAAATGATCCATGCCAAATGATCAAACATTAGTCACCTAATGCAAAAGACATCGCTACACATCAAACAAATTCACAGTAGAAACAATGGCAAAACTTCAAAGAGGCTCCTAAAGACCTGAAGCTGTGCAAGTCAGTAAAATTATCTCCCTGGTCTCTTTTCAAACAGAGCTAATTGTTGATTTAGCTTTAAGTCTACCTAAACAAACAACAAAAAAAGAACCTTACAAATTTTATCAGATGTTCTTTAAGAGATGCAGTAGTAAACAAACTGCTGTTGTCCATCAACATGTGAAATAAGAAACCTGCATTTCCTTGACCATTAAATCTTATTTCAGCTTCTCCAAAAGAAGTAAAGAGAGTATAGACTAATAAATAAGATTGAGGTCCTGCAATTCTTGAGTACATACAACAAAAATACCAGGAATGGTCACAATTATCACAAACATATTCCCATAAAAAAATTCTGAACCATACTATACTGTATGTGGTAAGTAACTGCAAACATGCAGAAGTCTCTTATGATAATGCTAATTATCACAGTGGTACAAACAGCAGAAGAGAATTAATCTTTCTCAGATATGTGCATTGAGGCACACAAGCAGAAGTCTTGGGGACCGATCACAGGCTGCTGCCTGTGACTGTTGCTGCCATCTCTTAAGTTTTCAGATAAATAAACTGTGCTGAACCCAAAAGCTACAAATATGGGCATGTTCCACACCAATGTACTTTCCAGCTAAAACTTGCTGCAGTATCTGAAGCTGTCATTTGGAAAGGAACTGGTCTAAGTGGAAGGAGGAGGATATTTGGTCTTTGAGACAGTACGATTGCCCACTCACTGCATTAAGGTGCCAGCCTATATTAAGACCATTTGAAAGCATCTGCAAGATTTTCAATACAGATATTATTGCGTAACTGAACACCAGTTTTTCCTACCTCTTTGAACAGCTGACTACCAAGAATTCACTATGTAGCATACACTCCTTTTCCAAGGTAAGGAAAAGTAAGCATCAGGACCATCCAAATCACTGTCATTGAATGTTTTCAATAAAAGAATTTGGATATAGCAGTCAATACAGAACAGAGGAGAAACAATACTTACTACTGTGCACAATCAATCAGTTGATATTCATTAGATCTCTCATAGCAGGCTCTCACACCTTCGTCTTGCCAAAGTGTTTTTGTATGTTCGTAAAACTCCTGAAAGAGTAAAAATAGCATTAGCAAAATGGATTATATATGAAGAGAATCAGCAAATGGTATCATATTGTTTCCACTGTAGTAAGTGATAAATGGTGATAAATGTGATAAATGGTAGCATTATTTAACTAAAAACATCTTTTAGAACCTGACTACAAGTTCAGTTGGCTTTCTCAGTTGTTTTGTCTTTAATGTTTCATAACACAAGAAACTGCTTCTCAGTCATTTCAGTTGAGACCAACTGGATATAGAGGGAAGGGTTAACCTTTCATTAGTGACAATTCTGTTGGCATTTTTAATAACCAATACTATTTGGTAACTTTAGCTCTTAAAGTCACGAGTCCACTGAATGTTATGTTTATTTGGCTGTCAAGATGATTCTTTTCCTTCAAGAAAACACTACTTCTCAGTAATTCTTACATAATGGTAGTAAATGATGATTAGGTTTACTTGACTTACCATGTCAGTGAGGACCTTCGGGGACTATACAGACATCTGTATCTTACTTAACTCTGTATGACTTAACTCTATTTGCAGAATTTATTATTTTATAGCATAAAAGGATATTGAACTATAGAAAAAATACAGTGATACAAAGCTAGGTCATGTATTGACTACATCAACCTTAAAAATTGTAAGCCAAGGTACAAAAGCAGACAACCAAAAATGCAATGCTTCAGTTTTAAGTGAAACACAAGTATAAAACACAACAAAAAGATCAGAAGCCTGTCCTTTTCTGCACATAAAAAAATGCAAGGCTCCAACTTGCATGCAACTTTGGTTCCAACAGGGGCCAGTGCCATCTCTAATTGTATTTCTGGATATTGGTATAAGAACTTTGAACAGACTCAGAGAGAATAGCAGCAGCCAAGTGACTTCACTACACACACCACTGTGGGCATTACTTTTATCAATGACCATGGAGTTCTTCTGGCTATCTCTCAGAGCTTCAAAAGCGTTTTGGACTAAATACCTTCGTTCTGAACTTAAGTGGCTCAGGTAGCTTACTCCATATCAGCATTTTGCACTGAGGACAGCACAAGACCTTTGAAATAGTTGCTGTGCATATTCTAATTCCACACACACCATTTCTTTGCAGTAGAAATATTTTAAAAGAAGAAAGAATGTATTATTTTAAATAGCTATTTTACTGTTTCAAGGTTCCTCCATTAACCTAGCCTTGGAATCGCTCCCTCTTTTGGGATATCAGTCCCTTGCATTCTTTTATTATCACCTTAGTACAAAGAAAAGGGTCACATCCAAATGTGACTTCCAATGTTTCACTTAAAAGTATCTTTTTAAAGATTTACCTTCCTAACAAAACGTTAACTAACACCTGAACAGCAGCAGACCAGTAGATGCTTTAAACAGCATCTTAAAGATGTATAATTGCAGCTTAAAGTAAATTTAGTGATGCAGATCTTCAAACCATCCTCTTTTTGGCAGGTATAAGATGCATATGGGATTGTGTGATCATACAGTTGTGAATATCCATGATGGAAAAAGCCTATCAAACGTAAATTTGATCTTGCTTTTATTGCTATTGGATATTCACCAGCTGAACTTAACATACAAACGACAGTAAACGCACACTCCTACACATCAGAAAAAACTATGGTAAAATTTTGTTCCGATTTCTTTTAAAGAGATTATGAAGTTTATATATAATACTAGATGCATCTTTTCCATTTGTTCCCTGGTTTTACGAACTGTTCATGAACAAAAAGACAAGTTAAAATTCTTTCCTAAGTAGATAAGAAGATTTTACTTGATTTTTAGTACTTATAGATTGTATGACCATTTGCTGTTGAAGGAAGTAAAAGATGGCTCCAAATCTTAATTCCCGTCCTCAGTTTTCTTTCTCCCACTGCTGGAATTGTGTTCATTGGATCCTTTCATTTTGAATGTTTCCAATTTTTTGGCAGTTGGGGGACTGTCAATTACTGTCAATCTTCAGCTACATCACAGCATGGTGAGGAAAGTATCTCACCAAAGCAAAAAGGAGAAGGAAAAGGAACTAAAGGAGAGAAGGGGAATTGTCTGGAATCTCACTGTATCTGAACCAAACCCATTTTGGTGTAGCTTTATATATTTATTTTCAAAAGTAACAGTAGTCTGGTGCAGAACATCGTTATGACTCACTCAGCTTATCACTACAAAGCTGGGAAATTGAAAAATTGAATCATCAATTGTAAGAGGGTTTTTTTGTTGAAACAGCAGCTGATTCAAATGGACACAAACCATTTAAATTTTCCATCTAATGAAGGAAGATAACTTACACCAGACTTCAGATAGTTCACTGAACTATTTGACAGAGATATGGTTCTAAAATAGACATCTACTGCAAACTGGGGTCAGCATCTGCCACACCAATTATCTCCAAATATACCCCCAAATACTTGCTTCATCCTGCATTACAGTAAGGAAACAAACAACTAGGCACAGGCAAGTGTAAAGAAGATGCAATAAACCAGAAAGATTCTTCATCAGCTACAAATGTACATTTGAAGTGAAAAGAAGCAGAGTCTTACTGACAAAAAAGATAAAAATCACAGCATAATAAAACTGCCACATAAATGTGACACAGAAGTTCTTCCTTACTACTGTTTCTCACTACAGCTATGACATCCTGAGAGAAAACTGATAGAAAACAATTATTTCAACCAACTTACGAACTCCATCATTCCTTGTGAAGAAACTCTTGTAGTAGTATTTGCAATCAAGACTCTTAAAATGGGGTGTGAAGAAAATACTGTTCCTGGCCCTAGCATAAACACATTGAAAATAAAAAGCCTAGGATTTAGTTTAACAGAACAAATTGTTCTGAAGGGTCCTCCCTGTGTTTTAAGACAGTTCTTAACTTCCAAGAAATTACATGGATTACAATAATGGAATAACAATCGACGTTTGTGCCTTGCTAGGGCAAAACAGCAATAAAATACTTAATACTGCCTTTATGCCTATCATGATAATCTGAACTATAACCAGCAATACTTACGCAATCTTTTCAATATAGTTATTAACTGTACATGTGGGATGGAAAAAGAATTTAAGTCCACATTCTTTGAAGTTTTTATTGCCATTTCAAAATCAGGATCTAAACCAAGTAATGAGTAATTATCATATTAAGACTGGGGTTTTTGGGGGGTGGAGATTTTTGTGTTTCATTTGAGGTTTTTTTGTTGGTTGTTTTTGTTTTGCTTTTAAAACTGTACTACATGACTTGTGACAGCCAAATACAAAGGTCTTCTATTAACAAACAACCTTTTGTCTTTAAGCCACATCAAATACATCTTCACACGTTTTGGGACTAACACTGACCCAGCCTACACAACTGCAAACTGCAACTAGAAAAGTTGGAACCAGGCTTATAGAGTTCTACTCTTGCTTTATGAGAAGCCTACTTGTACTAGTCACTCATTTTGGTATTAAGACTCAGTAGCTAGTTGCAAAAAAACCCCCAGATTCTCCCTCCTCCCCAATACACCTACACTAACCACAATTCTGAAATAGTATTTAAGAAAAAGAATAACACAAAAAATCCTCAGCATCCCATCTGAGTCATGGAGTGTAGCCTGGGGCTACTCACACGGAAGGCAAGTAAACCCACAAGATTTGTTACGCATTTAGGTAAAACGGGGGCTTCAGAGGCCACCAAAAAAATCAAGTTAGCAACAGGGTGGCTTTCAGTTTGGTTCTTTTTTTAGTTAAACAGGCCTTAATTTGTATGAGCTCTCTAAAAATAATGAGTTAGGAAACAAATTAACCAAAAGTAGCAGGCAAATTTCCTGAAAAGAAATAGCCAGAAAACTAGTCCTTACATGTCTGGTTCTTGTTTCCATAACACCAATTGATTTGCTGGCACATTCTAAAATAACAGACTCTACAGCAGCATCAACACTGGTTTCTCCTGCCCTGTAAAATGGAACTCCTAACAAAAGAGCTAAAATAAACAAATAATACTAAATAACAATTTGGTTTGAGATGACATTCCGCAATAAACAGGATTTAAATGTTAGGTTCCAAACAATCCACAGCATTTGCAAACTATCCATTCTTGCCCTTATGTGTACTTAAAACCAAAGAAAATATTCAAGTGTTGTCATTTTCCATTATAAAAAATTGCTGCCATTATACAATACACACCCAAGATCCTGTTTAAACTACAGCTGAAACTGGGTAAAGCAACAAAAGTCAACATAAGTGATGACAGCATGGCATCACCAAAGGTGTGAAGTGAATTCTTCCCAAAAATTACTTCAAGATTGGAGCATTTATTTACCACCAGACCACACCTTACACTTTTCAAAGCATTAACATAACCCTAAAGAGGGAGAAATCCTTGTGCAGGGAAAACAATGTCAACAGAACACAAATCTGAACAGAATAAACAGGGCTTGACGTTGAATCTGTTCAGGCTGGGCAGGGGCATAGTTTGGATTCCAGGCAATCCCCAACTACCAGGCTACAAGTCTGTGAAACTATAAAAAAAACCCTGAGAAGATCCACTGTCTGGGTAGACTTTCTCTGGCTTTACTTAGGTAACTGAAGTATCAAGGACCATGACTTGCTAATAGCTAGGAAGCCTAATTAATCTCTCATCGTATCATAACATCGCAATACTTAAAAAGTAGTATTTGCGTGAAGTGCATTTTGGAATTAATGTTCTATTTATGAGACAACACTTTCTCCACCGGCTGAAAGTTTTCCCAATACGAGTCAATAGCCAACATTTATAAATGGCTTGTATTCACTTACAGGAACCTTTGCAGACCTCTAGAGAAAAAACCCATCAGTGGAAATCATCATGTAGAAGGGATGCTCGGGAAACAGTACTTTGTTCCAGAAAGATCTTACTGACACAATTCTGGATTAGAAAAGGGACGATGCGGAGCCTAATCAAATTAAAACCCTACCTGTATTAGAAAATTTCAGGAAATTGAATGGCAGCAGGTAAACAGTGGTCTTATTAGAAGTCAAACTAGAGGAAGTGTTAAAGA